GGCAAGCCCACAAGCTTCCAGAGTTCATTAGGAACCCTCAGTTCCACTTTATTATTATTATTTATTAATTTTTCAGAGCACTGCAGATGAAAAGTTTGCCACAACCTTCAGTTCATTCATGGTTTCCCTTACCCTCTCCCACCCCCTTCTCCCCAGTATCCCCAATATGTGCATTGGTAAAACACTGCAAGAAGACAATTTGATGTGATCGTATACGCAATTGCATCAGTAATTATTATTTTTTTGTGGGGAGTTTTGCTAATGTGTCGGAGTGCATGCACGTGTCGGTAAAACACAGCACAGAAAGAATCTTGATACAATCATGCATCTGACAGCATCAAAAATTACCTTCCTGTAGTGTTGTTGTTTTTAATTTTGTACGCACAAGTGCATCGAGAACTAAAGGAGTTGCAAGCTATGGCAAGCTGTGCATGCTCAAATTCCTGCACTAATTTTAGAAGTCATCCTTGTTCAAAATTCCGGAGCATTGGAAGTCAGAGCAGACCAAACCCACACAGGACAATAAAGGAATGGGCTAGGGGAAATCCTACCCTCTTGCGCTTTCCTATAGCATGCACGCTTACCAGAGAAGCCAGGGCAAGCAAGAGGTGGTAGGAGTGTTATGTCTCTGTATGCAATGTGCAAACAGAGATGCACCACCTACCTCCTCTGGTAGGGCACTATGCTGCAGGAGGAGCCAGGAATGGAGGGAGACACCTTCCTTTTTTTCTAATGCACTCAATTTTGCAAAGCAATTTCCCTTAGCACATTTTTGTGTGTTATCTTCATCTGTGTATGCATCAAGCTGCACACTTCACCTATTTTCATTTTCGTGCACATTGCTTGCCTGGAAAACTGCACCGCAACATTTGGAGTGGAGGGCTGGGTTCAGTTTGTGTATTTTGTCAGAAAGTGTGAATTATGTAAGTTTGCCTTTAAATGCAAAATGAACAGAAATTATCTCCCATGTGCCCCAGGCAGAGTAGGGAGGAGTCACAGCTTTTACTATCCCCCATTCTCTGAGACAGTTTGGGATGAGGGAGAGGCAAGTATCACCCAGAACGACCTGATATTCTTCCAATGAACAAGCTGTTTTGAATCTATTCTCTGTGGATTGTGGGTTGAATCCAATGCTAGCCCGACCTATTGAAGTTAATGGACACGACTAACTTAGGTTCCTTAATTTCCACGGGTCAACTTGAAGTATAATTTAGTTGGATACAACCTCATATGTATTGTGTCTGATGTATTAGAGTTGTAGCTGCAAAAGAATTCATTCGGTAACTGATCAGTCTCATTCACTGCTTTCCTTCTTCCTACAGATGTCCGCCAATTCTCAATGCAGAGGTCAGTCACTTCATTATGTAGCCTGGAGACCATCAGTGAAGAGCCCTTTGTTGCCAACGAGGACCAGCCTGCTCCTTTTTGCCTTTCTCTGCCCACTGCTCCTGCTAGCGATCCCAAGGAAGGGTCTGTGCCTGATAATTCCTGTGACCCGTCAGATCAGCTTCAGAGAGTTCCTCTTCCGCAGCGCACGGTGGTGGTTTCAGAGGACAGAAGGTTCCTTTCTCCCAGCCCAACAATCACAAGTATTCTGGGACCAAAAAATGTTAGGAGAAACGAGAAACAAGGAGGCGATGGAGGTCAAGCTGGTTCACAAACTCAGGATGTTGTAGCGTTGGCCAACCTTGGGCCTCATTCTACCCATAGTTGCCAGAAGAGAGATGGCATGGCTGAAGAACTGATGGATGTTGAGAGAGTGGACGAGAAGGCCAGCAATGCAGCTAGGCAACCGCAACAATGCAACGTGGAGAGCACCACGCTAGCTTCACCTCGAGATTCTCCCCAAGTAACTCAAGGTGCCGCAGTCCCCCACACGTCTCGTGTGATAGTGAGGAGGTCGAAAAGTGAAGGGCAGAACCTTTGTGACTGCTCAGTTCCAATGAGGTCTCCTGGTGGCTTCTCACCAGCAGCTGCAGTGTACTCTGATGCCACAGTGAATGACCGTATCTGGAGCAAGCTGGACTCCAGCAGTCACAGAGACAGCATGTCTTCCTCTTCTAGCATGTCCTCCAACGATACGGTCATAGACCTCTCCATGCCCAACCTCACCCGCAAAAGCCTCCCAGACCTTGGAATCCAGCACGAGAACTTCAAAGTCATCCCCGAGAGGAGAGGTGCACGCCCGTGGTCCGCAAGTGCCGCTTCCGGGCGTGAAATGCCCATGGTGACCAAGAGCAAATCCAATCCCAACTTGAGGTCAGGCCAAGCCACAGAGGATGAGCTGCGCCCTAGACCGCTAGCCAAGGGTCTCGAGCTAGGGTTGCCATCCCTACCCAGAAGGCACACATGGAGCCGGTTGTATATGGAGAGCCTCAAGCAGTCCTGTCTGAAGCCGAAAGGCCAGGAGAGCGACCAGGCCAAATCAAAAAGCCTTGGTGACCTGACCTCGGATGACATCACGTCCGTCTTCGAGGGCAAGTACCGCAGCATCAGCCGGAGCTTCATCACCCGGTCGATGAGGGAGCAGCGGCAGTGTGCGGCAGCCAGGTCCTCAGCAAAGCCCTTGGACCCTCTCACGGAGCGCCTGAAGAAGCTAACCACCTTCCAGCAGGAGAACGACATCACTTCCCCTACCAGCCTCGAGCCAATTGAGTCCGAGGAGGAAGAGGAAGGGGTGGGCCTCCTCCGAAGGTCTTCATCCAGGAGCCAGAGCAGAGTGAGGTACATCGCCAACCGGGCCAAGCAGGCACAGGAGAGGCAGAGGCTGAAGAGCCTGGCGCTGAACAAGGGGAGCCCCATTGAGGAGCGAGGGAACCCCGAAGGGGCCTGCTGCTTCACCAAAGGGGCCTGTATGGACACGGCCTCTGCCGGCCTGTTTACATCCCCACTCAAGAACCAAGCTGACTTGAACCGTGACACCGAAGTCGTCTTTATTTTCAAACTCTAACGCTGGGAAGGGCTGAACAAGCTTGATGTTTACATTCCTGTAAGAGCAAAACCAACAAAACAAACAAACAAATCATACACATACATATATATTTTTAATAAAAACGCACAGGACGCAAAGAGCCCTTGTCCGAGGATAGCACTTCTCCCCCTCCCGCTCCCAGCCTCCAAAGGACAATTTATGTGTGTGGAAAATTATACTAATACTTATACTAATAATGCAAATTTGTAGCATGCAATATGGGCAATGGGCAACCAGAATGTTCCTGGGGGAAGGGAATAGATCCTGCAAAGACCCCCCCTTCCCTGGGAAACATGTCTGTGGATCTGCATGACCATTCTCTCTTCCTGTCTGAGTTCCCCCTTTTTCTTTTCTTGGTAAGGCGAGTCTTCAATATGCGTTGGACTTAAAGCTGATGCCAGTTGCTGCCTTAATCTTCCCACTGAAGCTACTACAACAGGGTTGGGGGAACTCTATTCAACCCAAGGGCCACATTCCCTTCTGGGCAACCTTTTGAGGGCCACGTTCTTGTGGTGGGTGGAGCAAAAGGCAAAAGCGGGTGGAGCTAGTTTCTAGACACACACACACACACACACACACACACACACACACACTAACCTCAGTCTTTCCATCTAAGCAAGAAGCATAAGTTAAAGGGCACATTCCAGCCAGGCAAAAATATTTGGGTCGCAAAGCAGAGCAAAGTGAGGGATGTGGTCTGAGTAAAGGCTGTGTGGCCTGGGGCAAATCCTGAGGTCCGGATAGAAATGCCTGCGGTTCCCCACCATTGTGCTACAGCCTGACTTCAGTTGCGGAAGCCAAAGCAGCATTTGGAACATGCAAAAGCTCCGGCGCTTGTTCTGCCCTTGTTTTTCTGTATAGCTGAGAATGGTGTGAAAGACCTGCTTAATTGATTGATTGATTGATTGATTGTTTTTCTGGGGCAGAGCTGGGGGAAATGTACTCACCCTGGGCAGCCATGTTTTTAGCATGTTACCTTTAACACTTTTTGGGGCGGGGCGTATGTGGCTGCAATGGCCTGTCTCCAGCCTTTGGGACATATTCCCCAGCCATTTTGGCCTTCCTTGCTTCCTGTTCCCTGCATTGCTTGCCTGTGGGAATCTTCTGCTGAGACGAGTCGGCATGCTGTGCCTCTTCTCCAATGGAGGCTGGCCCATCGGGGCAAACGGGGCACTGCCCCATCAACCTCAGTCTGCCTCTCAGCCAGCTCTCGCCTGCATTGCCTTCTTACTTCCACCTGGTCCAGCTCTCAGCTTCCTCCTCTTCAGTGATGCCCCTGGTAGATCTCAACAGGAAGAAGGAGGAGGGGAGCAAAAATAGTATGAGTTGGCTTAGCTTGTCATTGGCTCTGACCCTGCCTCCCATTGGCCTAGCAGGTGGTGCAAATCCCCAGGGCTGTCTGTAAGTAGGAAGGCAGAAAGACAGGTTCTGCCTGAGTGCAGACAGAGGTTAGTGGATCAGTGCCCAATTGCCCGAACGCATCAGCCTCCACTGGAGTAGAGATGGGCGACTCCACCTAACTTCCAGCCTCTCTCGCTTTTGCATGTGTCCGCTCATAAGCCTCTCACGTTAACCTCTGATAATATACACACATTTTTAAAATCAGCATGGAAAGTTTGCATTCAATTTGTTTTCTAAACAGCATGTTGGTTTTTTGTTTTTTTTTTGGAGATAAGTTTTTTTGAGCCTCTCGAAGCATCTATGAAGTTCAAAAGCCAGTAGTTCAGTGAACTTCTATCTGCACATTAGTCCGGTAGGTGCAGGTAAGGTCTCCTTTCTGTGTTGGAAGTTGCGAAGACCTGACGGCTCCAGCATCCCTGTCGTGGAACTTTTGATGCTATAGGAGCTGTAGCTCAGTGGCTTTGCATGCAGGAAGGCTCCAGGGTCAATCCCCAGCATCTGTGGTTAGAGCTGGGGCAAGACCAGAGACCTTCTGAAATGCTGGAGGACCACTGCCAATCAGCAGTAGGCAATGGGTGGACCGGTGGTTTGACTCAGTATATAGCAGATCCTGCGTCTTCAGGGAAGAGCCGTAGCTCAGTGGCAGAGCATCTGCCTGGCATGCAGAAGCCCCAGGTTCAATCCCAAGCATCTCCAAAGAAGTCTGGAGGGAGGACACGCTGCCTGAGACCCTGGCCGGTCAGCATGGACGACTGAGCGAAGTGCACCAGTGGTCTGGCTCAGTATAAAGCGACTTCCGATGCTGTTCTCAGTGGTGAGGACTTCACAACCCCTTGGGGAAAGCTGCCCCTTACCCCTGAAAGCCACGGGACAAGCGGGAAACGGCTCAAGCTCGTGCTTTTTCAGAACAGGACAAGCGGAAGCGTGAACCCTCAGGGAAGTCCAAGTAATTCTCTTTCTTTCCCATTTTAACTACTCATTTAGGAAAAGGGGTTCAGGAATCTAATCGTAGAACAGGCAGGGAAATGTTTTTCATTGCCTTTGCTTAGCTCCATAATAACTCGGGGGGGGCAGGGGGAGAGTTGTCATTTCCCCCAGAAATGCCAGCTAAAAATAATAATTTTGTGATGCTTCAAATGTCAGCTGTACATAGCACCTGTGGAATGACCGCTTCCTATTGCTTTCCACCCCCTTTGTTTGTTTGTTTGCCTGTATGTTTTTGCACTGCCATGCAAAATACTTTAAAAAAAATATATTTTAAACAAAATTAGAGAACATTAACTCTGTTCAGAGTTAAACAGAAAAAGCCCACCTTTTTAAAGTTCTTGCTTTAAACACACACACACACACACACACACACACACACACACACACACACACTATCATTTATTACAATGGATGTACATTTTATCGGGGAAGAAAACAAGGGAAGAATTTATCAAGACACCTTTTTTTATTTAAAAAAAGAGAACATATTTTAATTTCCAGCCCTAATTATACAGGGCTAAAGGGGGGGGGGGAGTTTTTTGTCAAGGGTTGTTTTTTGTTGTTGTTGTTGTCGGTTTGTTTGTAATATTTCTTATATATACATAAATATATATATAAATATATATATATTGCAAATAATTTAAAATCTATTTGTAAAACCAACTGACACAACTCAAAATAAAGATTATTTAACCTATTTGTTTCCGAGGGGTTCATCTGCCACTAAAGAAGTTTCGAGGCTGAACGGGGATTTGAACCCGGGTCTCCTGGGTCCTAGGATGGGCAGCGAGCAGCTAACTTTGCAAGGTTTGGTGGAAGGTGTAGGATTCCCTATTCTCTCCTCATCGCCAGTGGCAGATCCAGGTTCTGGAGATCTCTTGGTGCAGAATGTGCTTTCAAAGTATCCACCTCCTGCTCACGGCTATTGATACTACTCAGTGCCTCTCCCACTGGACCCAATCCTCACTACCTTCCAGAGCAAAGGTAGCTAACTTTCTTCAGGCTGACGGTCTCATTGGCCCTTAGCTTACCCTCCAGGGGGAGCATGTTAAAATGTTTTTTTTTTAAAGTAAATGTGGCTGTTTTATTGTGATTTTAACAAATGAAATTGGGGAGGGGGTGGTTAGGGTCCAGAAAACATTTCACAATGGGGCACCTATGGGAGCATTCAGTGGGGGGGGGGCAGTGCCTGTCCCTTGGCACAGATCCAGGATAGTGGTTATCCCCAAACCAGGGAAAGACAAAGCTATTAGGGTCCTATAAACCAACTTGTTGAATAAGGATGCTGAGCTCTTTACTGAATGGGACCCCTGTTAGCCCCACTTTTAGTCCTACTCAGAATAAACCCATTGAAGTCAATGTTAATTTGCACACGAGTTTCATCTGGTCTGCTCTAAGCAGGATTTAGCTGGAGACAACCTAAGATGTCCAATTTACTGGTGTCCAACCAATGGTGCCCTGTACTGAATCACTATGCGAACTGGTGTTTCAGCAATCCGTTCCTAATGCAGAAGGAGCCCACAGTGCTGGTGAGTGGGCTCGAATTTGCAGCTAAACTTTTGACACGTCCCCACTTTGATTGATTGCTATTTCTGGCAATTATGGAATGGGCAAAATGTATACAACTGTGTTCAGCAGGCAGTCCCGTTTTACTTCTGAAGCCTAGAAACCTTAACAACATTGAACAACTTGTTTTCTGAAGCCATTGGTACAGAACGCTCTCCCCAGCTTTTGTCACCTATAATTCTGATAACGATGCACCAGGGATTTCAGATTTCCAGGACAGGCTTTGGCTTGAAGGAAGGAGAGGTGGCAGGAATGTACAGACTCCGGGATTTCCTGGGGGCGGGGAGGAAGAGAGATGTCCCGTGACAGGTGAGAAACCCCAAGATGAGCTGCTTAATCTGGGAAGGTCTTGGTTCAAATTAAATCTTGGCTTACTTTCCACTGGTACGTGGGTGGCGCTGTGGGTTAAACCACAGAGTGTAGGACTTGCCGATCAGAAGGTTGGCGGTTCAAATCCCTGCGACAGGGTGAGCTCCCATTGCTTGGTCCCTGCTCCTGCCAACCTAGCAGTTCAAAAGCACGTCAAGGTGCAAGTAGATAAATAGGTACTGCTCCAGCGGGAAGGTAAACAGTGTTTCCGTGCGCTGCTCTGGTTTGCCAACAGCAGCTTAGTCATGCTGGCCACATGACCCGGAAGCTGTATGCCGGCTCCCTCGGCCAATAAAGCGAGATGAGCGCCGCAACCCCAGAGTCAGTCACGACTGGACCTAATGGTCAGGTGTCCCTTTACCTTTACTTTTCACTGCCGAGGGATCTTAACACCTTTTGTTCATTTAGTAAATATTTCCTACCAGACCATTAAAGGATTAATGGGTGGGTGATGGAGGCAGTTGTCCTTCTGAGTGAATCACAGTTGCAAGTTCCCCACCTTTCTTAGTTTCTTCCGTTTTAAAAAAGAGAGTAGCATTTGTACTACTCGGTTTCTAGCGTTTGTAGAACCTGTGATATACGGCAAAATGGCAGAGGATCGGACTACATGGACTTTTGAGTCTCTCCCAACTTTACGGGCTCTATTCTTTTCATGCTGTCTTTGTGGGATTCTAGCGTGGTCCCCCTTTTAGTGCTTAAATTTGCCTGCTCTATCTCTCTCCCCCTGCAACATTAAAAAATCCTATGGATACCCATTAAAGGGTTAGTCTCTGTATAAGATACAGATTAAAAAAGATGGTGAAAGGCACACACAGAAGTGTGGTGAATTGCACTGGTGTGTGAAATTGGGATGGAATATGGGCTTTAAAAAGCATAGCCTACGTGAGAGAAAATGCTCCGAACAGTTGGCAAATCACAACTCTGGAATTAATGGTGTATACTGCAGGTTCCCACATGGGATGTGTGGATTATGGTTCTTACTTCCACATGTGGTGGGCATGTCCCATCATTAGGGATAGATGAATCTGTTAATTCACTTTCTCTCCATTGTTCATTGTTCAGGTCTAAAATCCAGTGCTGTCTGCAGAAATGTCTGATTTATTTATTTTTATCCTCAACAAAATTTGTTGGTGATTTAATGCAAATTTCTCCCAAGATAACATTTTCATGTCGTTGGGGGTAAGCAAAAATGGCTGCTAAACACCGCAGAATGGCGGGAGTTCCAGGGCACTGCATTGTAGGGAAACAAAGGTGATGATCAGGGCCCACTGGGTAGCTGTTTGCTGAAACCAATAGAAACTGGTCCGTTTGGGCAAATGGGACACTGCCCCACCAACCCCCAGTCTGGCCTCAAACAGCCTCTGCCTGCCTGCCTTCTCACAACCAGCCCAGAGGGTGGCACTTGCTCTGGCAGCTTCCATGTTGCCTTAGCAGAACACAGCTGGGAAGGGGATAGGGACAATTACCACCTGCCTTTCATCGGCTCTGGCGCCACCTACTGTTGGTCTCCCTGCCTTTCACCCTACCAGTCACCAATAGGCACCATCCATGGCTAGCTGAAAGTCGACTCAGTGGGCTAAACTTTCTCTTGCCCCATAACAGTCATGGGAAGAGGAGCAGAAATACTACAACTGACAGTGGAATGGACTCCCAAGAGAGGTGGTGGACTCTCTTTTACTAGCTTTAGGTTGGAAAGATAGAGAAAAATGGACAGTAGAGGCATGGAATAGTTATTTGTTTGAACTTATTCAGTTGGACATTGTCGCAGTAACGTCACAGGAAACAACGTGGAAGGTCAAGTCCACCATGATAAGGAACAGATGGAACTCCTGTCTTTAATGGATAGAAACTACTGGAACAAAGGACGTTAGGTGGAAACTAAAGACGCTATGCCCGTGGCTGAGGATAATTGTTTGAACCCTTCCAATGGATGGGGGGAGGGAAACAGAGGGGAAGGAAAATTTGTACGGGAAATTTAAAAATTGGAAGGAGATAATATAATGTATGTAAAAATCCCATAATAATAATAATAATAATAATAGTAATAATAATAATAATAATTTTTAAAAAAGATTAGCTGAGATGCCTGCTAGGTTTTCAAGCAGGGGTTGGATGGCCAGCTGTCATGGATGCTTGAGTTGAGATTTCTACATTGCAGGGCTTTGGAGCAGATGACCCCCAGGGTCTGTTCCAACTCTCTGATTTTATGAAACTCAAGGCTTCACTGACAACAAGCTGGTTGTGTGGGCCACCTTTTCTCTGGGTGGTTCCCTCTTTGGGGAGAGGTTTGCAAAATCTCAAACTTAATAATAATTTATTATTTATACACCGTCCATCTGGCTGGGTTTCCCCAGCCACTCTCGGTGGCTCACAAAGTAATATTAAAAATACAATCAAACATTAAAAACATCCTTAAACAGGGCTGCCTTCAGATGTCTTCTAAAAGTCAGGTAGCGTATTTCCTTGACATCTGGTGGTAGGATGTTCCACAAGGCGGGTGCCACTACCAAGAAGGCCCTCTGCCTGGTTCCCTGAAACCTCACTTCTCGCAGGGAGGGAACCGCCAGAAGGCCCTCGGAACTGGACCTCAGTGTCCGGGCTGAATGATGGGGGTGGATACGCTCTTTTGGGTATACTGGGCCAAGGCCGTTTAGGGCTCTAAAGGTCAGCACCAACACTTTGAATTGTGCCTGGAAACGTACTGGGAGCCAATGTAGGTCTTTCAGGACCGGTGTTATATGGTCTCGGCGGCCACTTCCAGTCACCAGTCTAGC